TGGAAACCATATTTTCTTTTCCCCGGTAACAGCCAGAGCGGCTGGACACCTCCAACAAAAAAAAAAGAAAACACGCAGTGCCACAAAGTTTCATCAATAAACAAACAGATCCCCAAAGCGAAAACGAACTGATGCATGCACCTGTTGCTCTCACCTCTCCTTTCCGATCTTGCCACGTCTCCCCCCCTTTCTCCATCGTTTATTCTTTTCCTGGTTCCCAGCTTGCCGTTCATTGTTCTTTGTTGCACATCCCCCCCCCACCCCCTCTCTCTCTCTCTCTCTCTCTCATGAGGTGAAGAACATCGACATTTCCATGAAATCGAAGCTACTTAGCTACCCACCCGTGGCCCTCCCAATCCCTTGTTACGTAAAGGCCCCTCCGACCCCCCCTCCCCTACCATCTTTGTAATGCACGAATCTCCCACTCCCTCTCCCCCTCCCCCTCCCCCAAACTGACTCACATTTCTCTAATTTCCAATTCACCCCATTTCGACAATTCCTCGACAGATTCACGTTGATCCTCACCAAAATTTAAGCAATCTGAAGTCGATGGCTGCCATAACAAGTCCAGGAGACCGACTTTCTCTGTGCTAAGCAACCATACAAGCAACGATCTTTGCGCCCTACGTGAATGAGAAGGAGAGAGAGGTTAGAAAAGCATAAAGAGAAGAAGAAGAGAAATCTATCAAAGAGGTGAATGGACGAGTAGGGGATGGGAGTAAGGAGAAAGAAGAAGAGGACAAGGTGACCGGTTCACTCACAAGAAAGACGTTGGCAGAACGGCAGTCGTGAACTTGTCAGAGAAGAGACTGGACAAAAAAAAAAAAAAAAGCCAAAAGAAGAGAGGACAAGTACAAAAGGAGCAACCAGCAGCTAAAGCTCAGAAGGAAAAACAACAACGATGACGTCAACAAGCGAATACACGATGATTACAGTAAGGAGGGGAGGACGAGGATCAGGAAGGCCTAGAGGAGTAGGGAGCTAAGCGTCGCCACAGTCAGGCCATGCTCACAATGGTGGGCCTTTTCATACAGACTTCTGCTTGTAATTGCAGCCACATTCATCCCCGTCCTGCTCGTGATTGCCATGAGATGCATCTAGTAGGAAAGAGCTCGAAGAGCGACAACCAGACCACGGAGTGAGTGCTGATGTGAGCACTATACTGTCAATGGCGCCGCGCGGACAGCGACTTCCTGTCGTTTAGAAGAAACCGGCCGACGGTAGCGGTAGGCTAGCTGACGGAGGCAGCCGATGGAGGCACGTTATAACGCTCAATCATGACTGTGGACATTATAGACTCCAGGAAGATGATGTCATAAATCATCTGATGACATCTAGCACGATGACCTTAGCGGGGCCCTCCACCATGATTGTCCCGTCGCCGAGAGTCACCAAATCACTGGGCATTCCGGAGGCAGCGGTAAGCTTGCTAAGGTCCGTCAACTCCGCTGCAGTGTAGTTACCGCCAACTACAAGATGGAAGAGCAGGATCTGAGTCAGCACTTCTATCTTGCTGCATTGTGTGTCCAAGCAGAGGTTCAATTTCTCGCTGAGCATGGCAATAGGGCCATTGTTTGGCTCGAAAACCGTCACCTTCCCACCACCGACAATGCCGATGAGTGTGAGGTTGATTTGCGAAGCCACCAAGGCATTGTAGAACATGGACAGATCTCCAAGCCCTTGACCACGGGAGAGCAACTCCAAGAAAGCGGGAGTAGGAGTAGGCGGGGGAGGAAGAGGAGGATTAACGTATATTGGCGGGATATATGATGCAAGTGCAGGCGTTTGTTTGCTAACAGTCCCTGCCAAAGCGATGAACTCGACGGCGGCCCCCATTGTGACGAGCAGAGAGCGCAAAACCTGCGACTGTGTTATGGCGAGCATAAAAAAACTCTCTCTCTCTTTGTGTTATGGCGAACACATAAACTCTCTCTCTCTCTCTCTCTCTCTCTCTCTCTCTCTCTCTCTCTCTCTCTCTCTCTCTCCCGTGCTGTCTTTCGCTCTGAGACTCTCTTCTTTGTTATACAGCACAGCGGAATAACTTCCGTATGAAGCACGCAAGTGTACAACTGGGCAACCTCTATCGGGGGCAACAAGATTGTCTTCCGATTCAATTTGAATTCTATCTGTATTCACCAAAACACGTAAACGTCACTGGATTAATCAGGCCGCGAAAGCACGAAAACACCATAAGACGTATCACCCCCTAGGCCCCTGGAGTATTATCCACCAGCAACTTGGTGAGCCCTCCCACCCATAACACCTAGTCCCACCCCTCCTCCCATTAATCAACTTCCAGCAGTGGCCCCATCTTTAACCGTCCGCAAAAGTCTCCTCCTACTATAGTCCCCCTTTCTACGGAACGAGCATCCCTCCGTCAATGGAGCCCTCCCTGCAAGAGGCTGGCAAAGAACAGCAGAGGAGCTCCTCAGAGCACAACAGTCTGAGAGTGACTAAAGACAGAGCAGCTCCCGCACAAGCAGCCCTGACATTTGCACAAGCCTCTTCAACTTGTGCTTCTTCTTTTTTCCGACTCCGCTGGCGGATGTAGCAGATGGATATCGTTGGAAAGCACCATGGCTGAACCTTGCTGGAACTGACATAAAGCAAACAGTGCTTACAGCACTACCCGCGCTCACTCAATGACTCAAGAGATGAAGAAACGAAGGTGGCGCGCTTTCTTCACGGGAGGAAGGCCGGAGTATGGTAGAGAGAGAAAAAAAGGACAAAGGGGTCACAGCCGACTAAAGAGATGGAGGACGAAGCGGGCGCTCTTTCTTCAAGGAAGGCCGGAGTATGGTAGTGAGAGAAAAGGAGGAGAGAGGGATCGTGTTTTTTGACGTCTCGCTGTTTTTTAAAGAAAGAACTTTTTTTTTTTTTTTTTTTTTTTTTGGAAAGGTCATACATATATAGCAGCAAATAAGGGACGAGGCCGGGGACCTCACAATTCAACCCGGAGTTATCCTGGCAGCCTCAGCCAGTTTAGCTTATAAACATTGTCAGACCCCAACTTCTGCTATCTAGCAAAATCCACTTAGTTGGAAACCTGGTCCAGCGTCCCTTAAGCTACCTAGCTTTCCAAAATTAACCTTAAAGCACATAAAAGAAGCTCGTTCTAGCTCAAAATCCTATGATAAACCAGCTCAAAGGGGAAGACAGGTAGGCTCATTAACCATATCCCCGTTCCACTCAAAGTCCAGACTCGTCCTATTCATAATGAAGTAGCCAATTTTTAAATGACAAATGCCCATCTTGTGAGCCCGAGACCCACTGATTAAGAAGGGGTCAGGTACTACGAAGCCACAGAAGTCCTTTCCCCTGGCGCCCTGTACATTTTTTCCAATCTGCCAAAACCATCAGTCGTATACTTTTTCTGATCTGGTGTTGCTGTTGTTGAAGTGGTACCTTCTCCCCTTTAAAAACCACTGCATTCCTTGCATTCCAAATAGTGAACATGATAGTCGCCCTGCAAACCAATGCCACATAGCCCCACCCCTTCGCATAGTACACATTCTGGGCGGGGAGTGTAGCATACAGAATCCAGTCATTAGACCAAGAGAAGGAATCTCCAGACAAACTATTCCACATCAGTGTCCACCACAACCAAACTTCGTCCTCCAGTGGGCATTGAAGCCATAGGTGGGAATTGGATTCCCACCCCCACTCGCATCTCTTACATGTTGTGGGCACGTCCATGCCTTTGGTCGCCAGCCATTGGGCGGTGGGAACCACCTGGAGGGACTGCAACCATAACAGGCTCCCATACTTCTGGTTAGGAATCTTTCGTAGTGCATCCCATAGTAAGAGCCAGCTTGGCTGATTACTATAAGAACCCTTCAGTTTACATAGTCTATCTGCTGCTAGATGAAGCGGCGTGAGCTCTGATTTGGATTGCAGCCATTGGATCCCCACCTTTGTCTTGTACAGACAAAGAGTGGTGGGTTCATCCATCAGGGAGCCCCTGGGTTGCCCACCCCATCCATAGAGAAGGGCTTCTACCGTAAAGTGATCCCTTTTCCCTATATATAACATCTGTTTTTTGTAGGGGCAGACCCGAAGCTCCACCAGGCCCGCTGTTGTGTCCACATTTCTTTCTTGGATCAGGCGTAGGAGTCCTTTCTCCTTTTTTGTTGGATCTAATCGCCATTCTTCTATTTTCATCCCACCTGCCAGCTCCCGGTCCACCACTTTCCTGAACTGATCAGGCTCGTCCTCCGGTTGAACCTAGGCTCCAGCGGTATATTCCATAGAGGCCTTCAGTCTGGAGCTCCATTCGGAAGGAAACGCAACTTTTAGTCTAGCCAGATTTTCAGGGACATTTTTCAGTCGAGGCAGTAGCATTCGAATCTATTCTTCTGAAACCCAGTCTTCTGACTCTTCGTCCCAGAGGTGCTTAACTCTTGATATGCCTTTTTCAATCCAGGCTCGGCCAAAGTTGCCCTCCCCCCCTGTTGCAGAGAAGGGGGTCCCACTGGGAAGAGATATCAAGATATTATCAAACAGATTTTGGTTGGCTATTTCCAGTCTCGTTCCCGGTAATATATTTGCCCGAGGGCACAAGTGTTTCCAAGCCTGCAGAATGCCCTTCCAAATCTTAGATTTAACTCTTCGGTTTAGGAAACTGAACATCATGCAACATTGCCATACTTCTCTTGGCTCAGAGATATTCCACTCTTTTCTAAGAATGTACTCTGCTATTCGGATCCACAACTTGGAGGGATTGTCGAAGCAGGCTTTTATAATCCATTTAGCAAGCAAAGCCCAGTTTTGTTTCTGAGGATCCAAAAGCCCCAACCCTCCCTGGTCTCTTGGCCTAGTGATGGCATCCCAAGCCACCTTATTAATATAGCCCTGTTCCTCATTACCTGATGGCTTCCACAGATACCTGACAGCCACCTGTTTAATTTCCTTGTATGAATCGGTACCCAACAAGCATATCGAGAGGGGGAACCATAAGATAGAAAAGGCCGCCCTTGACAGCACTAAGGCTCTGCCAAATAGAGAGAGCTTATAATTGCGCAGCCAGCCATTAATCCTAGCCGAAACTTTGCCTGATAAGAGTTGGTCCTGGGTTTTTGAGCAGTCCGATAATGAGACAAGAACCCCCAAAAACCTCTCAGAGTTTTCTGACGGAACAGATCTAAGTCCCCATTTTACTTTTAAATCAAAAATATCAGGTAAAATGTAAATGGACTTGGACCAATTAATAGAAGCTTCAGAAAGAGCAGAGTACTCATCCAGAACTCTCTGCACCTCTCCTAGGGATGTCGGGGAGTTTTCGCAGGCGACTGTAAGGTCATCTGCGAGAGCTCCCCCGTTCCACTCAAGGGAGGGGTTGAGTCTTAGACCAACTATCTGATCATTAAATCTAATATTATCCAAAAGAACTTCTAATTGCAACACAAATAATAATGGGGCAAGGGGGCACTCCTGCCGTAGCGAACGGGTAAGGAAAATTCCTCAGAAAGATGCCCATTGACCATGACTTGGGAGACAGCATTTGCATACATCGCATGCACCCAGTTGGTGAAACCAGGCCCAAATCCCATCTTAGTCAGGGTGGTAGAAACGAAGGCCCACCCTACTTTATCGTACGCTTTCTCCATGTTTAGGAGGAGGATCGCTACATCTCGCTTTTCTGCGCCAATCATTTCCAAGGCCTGTATTGCAGTAAGGATATTCTCGAATATGGACCGGCCTCTTACGAAAGCCCCTTGTTCCCACCCTACCAGTTAGAGGAGAACCGAGGCCAAGCGCATAGCGATGACTTTTGCCAATATCTTATAAACAACATTAAGAATTGATATTGGGCGGTAGTTGCGGATTTCCTTTTTATCTCCTTTTTTATAGAGGAGCGCTATGAACCCTCTTACAAAGTCTTCAGAAGGGCGCCAGTATGCATGGCTTTATTATGAATTTGACACATGAAAGGAGCGAAGGCGACCCATGTACTGAGAAAGAGCTCCACTGGAAGGCCATCGATGCTAGGGCATTTGCCCTTCGCCATATGTTTCACGGCTTGGTGAAGTTCCATTTCCGTAAAAGGGGCATCCATTGCCTCCTTAGTCTGCCTGCAGATGCTGGCTTTTGTCCTGGACCAGAAGTCTGAGTTTAATGATAGATCTGTGTCGAAGCAGTCAAAAGGTCTGCGGGTAGATACTATATCCTGGAAGTAGTCCCTCGCAAAGGTACATAGGTCCATAGCGTCTACTGCTACATGACTTCTTAGATCAAAAGAGTGGATAAGTTCCCTAATTACCGGTTTAGTCTGTCTTAAAATTAAAGATCTAAAAGTTAATCTAGTCATTCTATCATAGCCTACGATGCCTCGTAGTTCGAGCCATTCCAACCACTGTGTTTGCTTTTGTATCTCTAGAGCTTCCAGGGAGGCGAGAGCAGAGAGTCTTTTATTAGTCCAAAATAAGTTTGCAAACTGGTCCTGACCCAGATTTGCCTCTGCTTCCTCCACCAGCCTGATAAGCTTTTGCTCTCTCCACACCCTGTTGGCAGCTTTCATACGAGAGAACACTATAAGTGCTTCCCTTATGATAGCCACACCCACATCGGCCCAGTGGTCCTCTGAGTCGAAAAGGTCCTTAGCCTCCAGCCACCC